TGACGGTACGCACGAGCATAATCCGTAATGTAATTAGGAAGGGCTTGGCAAGGATTGTTCTTCAAAAAGTTTCACCTTAATCAATAAGATACAAAGATTAATGCATATACAGGGTGAGGTGAATGTGCCCTTATTATATCACAGAGAGGCGTAACAAAAATATAAAACAATTTAAACTTTATAGTATTTTTGTATGAATCATACACTCATGCAATGGCTACGCGTTGCGATTCGTCCCACAATCTTGATCGTGATTATAAATTATAAGGCATCATAACTTTGCTTTTTAATTTTTTATCACGGCGACCTGGGATCTTTCAATTAACGAAAACTTTTATGCGCAATGTATTATGCGTGATTGCCGATATATAATCTAAAAATCTATATCGCTCTAGCACATTCTAAAGAATGTAAGACAACATAAATGAAGTTGTTATACTGCGGTAAAGTATTACATCGGTTTCAAGATAGAAAATTCTGTGTACACAAGTGACAAACGAAATAAAAATATTGAATTGCAACGGTGGATCAACAAATCTATAATTAAACAAGATTGAGCTATCGACGAATTATTTATCAACGAATATGAGAAGTATATTTATAAGTGGGTAACTAAATTATATTTCAGATATTTCGTATGGGTATCGGTGCGTTCTATTATTTGGGCATGTAGTTATCAGTTGCATTGTTTGAGGTACGAATCGCATTGGCATTATTATTGTCATCATCACTCTTTTTTCCTTTTTTTCCCTCTATCTTTTTGTCAATCGTTCTTACTCACTTTTCACTTCACTCTGCCCTTTCATTCCACGCGTTCTCTCGTCTGTTCACATCCTCTCACTTTCATTCACTTTCGTTTCTCTTTCTCTCGCTCTTCTCTAACTTTCTCTCGCTCTCTTTCTCTCGTAATCTTCGTCTATAGCTAACCCCTGACAAAACTAAATTTTGGTAAACGAGAAGCAAGCTATTGAACGCCTTCAATATTGTTCTCTCCCTGTCTCATCGTACTACGCCATACGTTTAATGTATTCCAGTTTAACAATAAAACTTAATAATATATGTATTCGTAACATATGCATACACGGGCGCAGACAAACGTATGTGAAACAGCTCCACCTACACGTGTGTGCGTGCGCGTGTACGCCACGTTGGTATTAAGAATAAAAGATTAGTTTTGTGCTGATATACAACAGTGTTTTGAATAGAAATTCGACTTACATGTATACAGATTATACATACGTACTACGTACGGTTTCGTGAGTACAAAGTGAAACACGGGGACGATTCGATCGACTTTACTAATCGCTACGAAGAAATTCTTCTTCTTCTTCTTCTTTCCTTTTTTTCTTTTTTATTAACATTTTGTACATTTTACTAGAAGCCAGCAAGTTCTGTCACAAAACTTACGAGATCCGATTTTTGTCATATTTAAAGAAACATAAATAAATAAATAAATATAAACAAATACACACGTTTGAATTGGTTACAGCACATTTCTCGATGGCCATTAAATTACTGAAAATTACACGATGCCACATCAGTTATCAATGCTGAGAATTACATGACGCTACAATAATGTCACCAATCGTTATATTTAATATTGTTAAGAACGAATGTACAGTTGCGTTCTGAATGAAAAGGACAATCGATCGATAATTAATCCTTAGATTTCGTAAATTTCGAAAAATGAAGAATCATTCAACCGATTGCGCGGATCAATTGTTAATAAATGTTACGATTTCGTTTTGCACGTAAGAAAGTTATTCATTGTTAATGGTAAATCGTGAATCGCAATCGTTCTCGCTGATCACTTTGTACGAAACAATGCAGAGATACATATCGTCCACGATGGATAATTTACAAATATATTTATGGAGTTAATGAGAGTTCAGCGATATTAGTCCCATAGTAAGTTGGCGATAGAAAAGACCTGAATAAGTTCATAAGTATGGATTCAAAGTCGGCAATTTATGACAAAAAATGTATAATATAGAGTGTAAAATTCTCTCGTAATGTAACTATAATATATATAGATGTATATGTATATATACACGTGGCGTATGCGTAATGTATACGTGTATACACAAGGATTAGTTTTGTTAAAGTTTCATCGTGTACGAAGAGGTACAAAATTTAGGTATAGAATAGGTTATGAGGTCCGAAAGGCTATCTAATTCGTTCGATTTGCGCTAACGATCCCGTTAGTCGTAAATATCGCGAGGTTTTTCCATTTCTGTCGGAACGTGTTGTTAATATGAAATTAAGATTTTCCAATGGACTTCCATATTCCAAAGAGCACACGCTATTACGTGGTAATGAGAATAATCTTAAAAT